AAGTCTGTTAATCTGTTCAGATAGTTACGAACTATAAGCTGAGGAAAATGGTTTAATGAATAATACAACTCACAATTACACTTTAGCATGGCAAACAGCCCTAGTGGGCACACTTTGTAGCTTCATGCATAGTGTTGTAATTATGTTTGTTCAAAGATGTACTGTTTTTTGTTTAAATTCCAAAAACTCTAAACACACGGCTGTATTCTCATCGATGGGCACTATGACAAAAACAGCAGCACATTATTGAATGAGTTGCTCATAAGCCTGTCATGTATCGACGGACTGTTCAATAATTGATGGATGGTGCAATACATTTTGCACATTGACTTTGTGAAGGTTCGAAGATTGTTGTTATTTTGACACTTAGCTAACTTAGTTCTGCCGTTGATTTGGTTGGTTAAGACGTGTTTTCAGTGCTGTGCCAGGATTCTCTTGCTAAATTGTGATTCTATCAGTAACATTAAGTACACTCAATATCAACGTTTATTGTAATATTTCCTTTTATTGTGTGATCCACTTTATTTATTTAGCACATTTGAGATAAAAAGAAACAAAAAAACAAAAGGCTGCACAGAGTAACAATAAAATGCGTGAAACCAAGTATGGTTTGAAAATAAATGTAATTAGTGCAGGTGACTTGACATGTCCTTGCAGGCTGTGGGAATAATCTAATTTGTGTGTTGTCTTTATTCAACATTAGAAGTAGTCACAATCAGGTCACAGTTTGTGTTTGGGCATGAGGTAAGGGTTAGCTTGCAACCAGACGAAATACCAAGATCTTAGGGAGTCCCTGCAGATGCCACAAAACCAAATTGCCAAGATATTCATTAAAGGAAAGGAAGAGAGAGGAGCAGAAGCTGAGCGCGGTGCATGTCAAGAGTGCAGCGGAGTGAGTTAGTTGAGCACTGCTCAGCTTGGCTCTGTGGAGAAGGTGGGGTGGTGTCCGTTGCGTCCGGAGACTCAGGGCTGGACAGCGAGCTGCTTTTTGTTCTCCCCTTCACATTGCCAACTCCAGCTGTCACACAGCGGGACAATAGAGGAGCAGAAGAAAGGGGAGGGGGTGCTTTGTGAATGGGAGAAAATAAACTGGAGTGCACCCCCTCCTCCTAAAGACTCGTCATCTGCATTTGACAGGACCCCCGCTCTCCTCTCCTCACCGCCCCTTTTCTTCCCTTTCTGCTCTCCATAATCCCCCTCTCCGGCTTGCCTCTCCCTGCTAAGTGCAGCTGTTGCTCTCCATTGGATTTTTTTTTCAACTGATTGCTAATTAGGATACCATTTTAGTTTTATCTTTAAAACGTGTTCAATTTGCTATCTCCTGCTTCCTTTTCCTTTACATCTCAGAGAGAAGCATTGAAAAGCCTCACCAATTATGCACAATCTTCTTCCCTCTCTGCTCGCAGTCTTGTGTGGAGCGCGCGTATAGTTCACACCTACTGTACTTTGGGCAGTGGCCTCTCATTGAATGCAAAGCCCACTTTAAAGAATGGTCCGGGCCATCTCCCTTATTCCACTCACATCACTGGGTCCCTGGGACTGGAGCCTGAGAAAACAGCAATTCACACAGCAAACACAGAGACCCCTAGTAGCTCAACAAATGAGTGACTAGCCCTACGTCCATTCATATCGGCCCTCGGCCCACAAGCCTATTAGCGAGGCATCGCTCCTTGAACATTCACTGTCGACAACATGTGGAGGCATCGCTATAGCAACCGGTGGATATGACATGTGCAATGGACGGGGGACTCCTGAGCTGCTGAATATAAGGAGGGGCTCAGCCTTAACTAAATGATGGCAAAAAAGCCAGCCCGCCGCCTCCCGCTCTCTTTTCATTGGCACAGAGGCGCTGAAAGGACTCACTAGTGGGGCTTCTGCACATTCTTCCAGGCTCGGAAAATCAGGCGGGCATATCCCACATTCTTCTCCCCTTTTCTCCTTTTCTCCCGCTTTCTTCTTCATCTCCGTGTTGAAGCCGCGGTCTTTTGTTGGCGCCGGGAGGGAGACGCATGGGACCTGAAGCAAAAAGCAAAAGAGGAACTTTTTTCTTGTGGTGGAGGAACGGACAAGTGAGAGAGTGAGGGAGTGAGGGGGCGGCCGGAGACGCACACACGGAGCTGCCCAGATCAGCGGCAGTGGTTTAAGCTGCGCTCTGTGGAATACACGCACCGCACCGCACTGAGCATGTGTTCTCCTCACCGCGCCATGGACACAGGTAATGGGCTATATTCACTCAAAATGTTGCTCTTTTTGATGTATGGATGTATGGACATAGTGTGCATGGAAGATGGAAAATCAGGGAATCATAGGGTTGGCAGGGAGTCAAACTTCTGCAGTGTAACATCATTGATGTAGATTATTGGAAAGAATGGTGTGATTGGATTAAAAAACATCTTTCTGCATCTTTTTCTAAAACTATTTAAAAGAAGAGTGATTGATGAATGAAAGGATGGTTTTGTGAATGTAGTTCGTTTCACATCTGTCTCCAGGGTCAAGTTAGTCCTGAGCATGAGGCTGTGTCTCCACATTTAGACAAATTAAATACACATTATCAGAATATTGGAAAGTATCCCATTTGTTAGGCTCCAAATGAATCTGAAAGCTCATCAAAAAGAAATGTGATTTGTGCTGTTCTTTTAACAGAAAATGTAAATACATATTTTCTATGAATATTCACACTTGTCTTTCTGGAAGGGTTTCATTTGACTCACTTAGCATTTGGGACATATAATGTGTAAACAAGTGCTTTTTCTGGAAAAAAATTGTTATTTTGAATATTCTATTAATATTTTGTGCACGTAAAAAGTTGACGCCAAAGCAGTGAAATGTTCATATGTGTGTTCTTGTGAAACTTGGTTTTATGACTTGTAGGATCTTATCTCAATCTTTTTCGCAGTATTGGGAGTGAATGGAGAGCAGGGCGTCCACACCTCAAATCCTGACCTTTTCTCTATCATTTGAATAATCCGAGCTTCGAAATCCATCTGGCCTGATCTGTCCCTCACACTGACGCTCATTCACCAGGTTCTTCAGGGAGGAATTATGTAAAAGAGATTTTTATTATGCGTTCAGAAGCATTAAAAAAAAAGACACAAATTCACATTTCATTTTTGAATGTCTCGGTTTTCGGTTTTCCTAAATGAATAGTTATACTTGAAAATAAGTAAAAATAAATCAAATTTTGTAAAAATTTTTAAACATATGCAAATAGGCTAAAGGCTGAAAAAAAAATACATATATATAAATAAATATATATATATATATATATATATATATATATATATACAATGCTCAAAAAGCATTTGTTTATTTTATTAATTTGTTCATCGTATTCATTCATTTCAAGTTTTTTAGTTTTTTAGTAAAGACTAAATGTTAAATTAAATATTAGTGGATGAAAATGAGTGAAAGTAAAGCAGCAGAAGCTAATGAATAGCTGAGTAAAGGCCCACGGAGCTAATTCTGAGCCTCCAATCTCCGCCTTCTCCTCCTCCTCTTTTCTTCCTCCCTCTTTCCTCAAACGACATAACACGATTAGCGCCTTCAAACGCTCTTTAATGTTTGCTCCGCATTTCTATCCTTTTTCCTCCTAACCATTTTTCATACTTTTCAATGTGTTTACCTCAACACATTTTTTTTTTAAGTTGCTGCTTGTTGATGTCGTCTTTCTGTTAAAAAGGTTTAAAATCGTTGAGTGCTTCAGAAAACAAGAATACAACTTTACACACACATGAGAGAAACACCTCTCTCAGCTCTGCACATTTGTACGCGTCCACGTCTTGTCTTTGCGCTCGCCTCATAAACACAGCTCGTAGTCCAGACTCGTATCACTTCATTAAAATCACCCCACGCTCTGTAACCACGGCGATTGCAATCACCGCCAACTACCATCAGTGGCCGAGGCCGCAGTAAAACGACCTGAACTTTACCGCGCCGCTTAAGCATTGCCAATTATGCGCCACAAGGTCAGAGCGTATTGTTACTGGTCCGAGGTGAAGTGTCTTGTTTTGAGAACGCTATAACAAGATGTAGCTATCCCTCAGCCCCCATTAGACCCCCGGGCGAAATGTCAGGGGCCCCGCCATTTTTTTCACAAAGCTGTACATTTGATTCGGACGTGCTATCAATCTTTCACTATTGCGCGCAGACAATTAGGGCCCCGTTGATGTATTTGCGCGCCGTTATTGATATTGCCCTTTCCGAGACGTACTGCCGTGCATACATACATTACACCGCTGTTATAGTTTGGTATCACTCATAAAGCACTGGGTGATTTACGAGCAGCTGAATGTGCTGGTGGATTTGTATTCCCCTTTTTTAAACTTAGGCTAATGTGTGTGTTTTATGCAATCTGGATAAATATGAGCCCATATTAGGTATCATTAATTATCCTTCCCAATTATCACTGCTGTTTCGTTCTACGTGGAGGCCCTCTGGGAATGTATCATTACAGTAAATGGCCATGAGTGGAGCAATTATCTTCACCGTTCCTTAACCTGCGCTGATAATAAGCACCATTTTTATATTCAAAATTACACACCTAGCTGTATTTTTAATCATTTTAAGCCCTGTTTTGTGGTGATGGGGGCTCCATGCAAAGGTCCAGCCTGAACTAGTCCATGCACCCTTAGCCCAGTAGCCATAGACTAATCCAGCCAAACCCAGGACCAGAGGAGCTAATTAAGCACAGGCTTTTAGTGGGCCTGCCCCCTGTAGTCGCCCAGTGCCAGCCCACCCCATGCCAGCACTAAATGGGCTTGTAAATATCTATAGTGGTTAGACAGGCAGTGGACAGGAGCTGGTAATAGGGCTTGACTGAGTCTGAATGCACATTATAAGGCTGGTGTTTGGAGCTGGCTAATGAGTGGGGTTGGCCAGAGCCAGAGTTAGCAATGGGAGAAGTGCCGTAGTGAAAAACAAGGTGATGCAGTGCAGTTTGTCTCAGAAAATCAGACCAGACAAACAACATTTTGAAGTCGGATTTTGTATTTCTTTTGCAGAGGGGCAGTTTGACCCAGATCCCGGTGGTGAAGGAGACCCGTGTGGAGTCGGGCCAGTTCCTGCTGCTGTCCCTCCTCTGCATGCTCTTCATCCTGGTGGCTTTGGCAGTGTCCGGGACGTTCTTCTGCGTCCGCCAGCGCTCCCACCTGCACCTTAAGGAGAAGTTAGCCAGCCTCGGCACTGACACCAGCACCGACGCAACAGCAACCTATCAGGTAAGAGCAACCTCTCGTCATCAGCCAATCACAGGCCACAACCAGGCCTGGCTCCCGGATTGGAGGAGCGCTCTGTGAGGAAACTGTGAGATCTCGTTGGCCAATTTAAAACAAATATAGGAATAGTTTGGTGGGACATTTGAATATAGTGATTGAACTACAATTTTATGCCTGTTGACAGATGAAAAAAGTGGGTATCCTAGTGATGGTGTTTGGTAATCTGGTTTTAGTAATCAAATTTGTTGCCTAATCTTTTACACATTTTATAATGCAGTTGGAAATAGCAGTATTTGTGACTTTATGTTTGTTCAAAGGTATATTCTTAAGACTCAAGAGGTCACATCTTGATTATTAATTCATGTATAAACTGAAAAAAATAATCCATATACGTATATTGGATTTTTGTTATAAGAGGTAAAAAACTAAGCCTCTTTCAGCAATTCAACATTATTTGAAATATTGGTAAACAAGAGAAAGCCTGTATATAAGAGTACATGCAGTATATATATATATATATATATATACATATATATATATATATGGTGAATGTCCCTGCTGGTGCTGCGCACAGTCGACTGACCCCTCTTAGTCAGCGCACACCTCGTGTGTCTGGGGCCCTGGGTGTGTGCAGTGCAGTGGGAGACAGGAGAGCAACCTGCCGCTCTGACCTATTCCCTCCGTTCCTCGGGGGCCGCAGGCTGCCTGGCTTCTATTGATTTTCAGAGCTGGGGCTCAGCTGTGCTCAGCATGGCACTCACAACACATTTATCTGCATGTCGCGTTAACATTTTCAATATTTAATCAGATTTTCACAGAGCTGCTTTTCCATCAAATCCAGAAGAAGCAACACAAAAGTCAGACGAGATTATTAGCAGGGCTGTAAATATTTATTTTCTGGCATTGAGGAAAGGGTTGCATTGTCACGTCTTGTGAATTAGCGAGAAGTCAGAACGCATATTTTGTGATTCTACGTTTCTGAAAGAGATGGAAATGAGAAAATGCAAGCAATATTCCTTTTCAAGCTTCACAAATCTCAACTCCTGCCCTCTACAGCATCCTGCTGCCTGGCTGTGGGATCAGGACGTTCTGCTGGCGCTGTGCAGAAAAGAGGAGAGGCACCATGAGTTATGAGGAGGACCTAGATATCGCCCTGAGGCCAAGACCCAGGGCACCACTTCATGGCTCTAATCATTAAAGTCTGACGGCTGCACAAGCCGATCCAAGTCCGCAGCTTAGTGTAGTGTAGCTTCCAGGGGAAATCTCACGGTGATGTTGCTGTAGATCATGAGTTAGCATGTGCTTTCCTTTGGATCTGGCACCTTCTTACAACTAATTTACTATGGATATCAAGTCCAGGGCACTATTTCACTCAAATACAAACTTGCAGATGGTTGTAAATGTAACAGTTAGTTGACAATCACCACACCATTTTTTGAATGAGAAATAGTCTGCAAGGCTATGAGCAGTCAGACAATTTCGGGGTGCGTAAAACAGTGTCTGCAGCAAGGCATCATGGGAGGATAGCTGAGTCATGGAGCTATAATCCTAAGAGCAGTTGGTGAGACAGACTTTTTAGTTGGGACCTGGAAATATCAATCAAAACAGTGAATTATACGCCACGACTACAGCTAATACATTTTAATCTCCTCTGGCTTTGTGTGCTTATTTACCACTGAGGCCCTGTTTGATTTATGAGCCCAGTTTCCTGTCAACTTTCTATCTTTTTCTACACAACATATTTATTTCTCGCGGGGCATAAGTGCAAGAGTGATTGGTGCTTCTTGTGTTGGGAGTAAAAGATCACAGCTAAATGATTCATTTGCAGACAGCTGTTGCGTGGCAGCCAGGTGTGACACAGGGAATTTATTCTGGAAAACCGTGTTGACTTCCTCAACCATGCACTTTTTTTGACATAATTAGTATAAGCTTCATAATCCATGTGGATAAGCCATTAATCTACATACAGTACAAGTGAGGACAGATCAAGTCAGACGGGATTTTCCGGAGAACTCAGCCCCTCACAGCGAGGATCAGTGGGAATGTACAGCTGCGTATTGTCACGTTCACATAAAGGCAGCTAAACAGTGGCTAATTCTCTCTCTCTCCTTGGGATTTGTGCACAGGAGCTATGTCGGCAGCGCATGGCCATTCGGGCGTCGGAGCGGGTGGAGAGGCCAGAGACCCTGCGCCACCATTCTCGCCTGAACAGCGTGTCGTCCCAGTTCAGCGATGGACCGGCCGCCAGCCCGTCCACCCGCAGCAGCACCTCCTCCTGGTGTGAGGAGCCGGTGCCCTCCAACATGGATATCTCCACTGGTCACATGATCCTGGTAAGACACGCCCACACAGGCCCGAAGACATTCAGGGAGGCTCTAGAGATAGTGACCATACAACAAACCTTATGTATGAGAGACATGAGGGATCTCATGCTTATGTGTGCTACATGTAGGTGCTGATAGCTGTAGATTCATATTCAGAGTCACTATTTGCCATTATTGCAGTAAAACCACAGTGGAATACATGTGCAAAGGTACCCAAGTGTGCACCAGACCTCTTGCTGCAGTAGTGTTACTAATCTATCCTCGGGTTTGGAGTGATAAAACGTTGTGTCGTCTCAGTAATTGTAATTATAGACTGTAAACATGCAACTAGAACAGATAAGAACTGTGCTGTCTTAAAATAGGCACTAGCTAACATTGTAGGGAAAGGCTAAGACACCTGGTTGTCTCTGTTCCTTTATCTGTAATAACAAGTCAGGTAAACCAACAGGCCATGCTATTTCTACCAAAGTGTATTCGAGCAGTACCAATGTGTAGTTGTATTCATGAAAAACAATTAGAAAACGGTGTAAAAATCTTGACTTTTAACACATAAACGTATTGACAAAATGTAGATTATTGAGATACTCTACAGACCATTCCTATATGTCATACCCACTCAAAGCCTCACTGTGATTGGGCGAATCTCTTTGACTTTTACTTAGAGCAAGACAGAGGTAGAACCAATGGAAGGAGAGAGAAGAGGACTCAGCGATGGATGAATGTTCTAGCTTAGAGCTGCATTTGACAGAAAAGCACTAGACATTATAATCTCTACAAATTGGCAGTTCGAATTGAACAATTAAATAGTTATTATATCACCGCACTGATTGCCTCTATTTTTCATCCCATTCTTCTCAATAGCCAGAGTATGGTATTGACATGTGGTCGGTGTGGGGGGAAGCCATCCTATTGACTGGTTGGATGTGTGGATAGGGCTGTTAGATCTGGGCAGGTATTATCGCTGTTGTCGGCGGATGTCTGCGCGTGTGTGTGTGTTAGGAGTGTTCAGTCACGCTGCTGTAGCATGTCAAATAGAGGTTTCTACACATCTCATATGAGCTCACACCGTAGTGTTGTGTTTGCATTTTTATCAGCCTATCTACCTTTGCTTCCACTTCACTTTTTTCTGCTGTTTATACATTTTATCCTGCTCCTGTTCTTTCCACCCATAATGACATTTTCTCTTCTTCTTGCCCCTCCTTTATAGTCTTCTTTGCTGCAGAAATCTCCCAGACATTGCTCATTGTGATGGGAGCTGTTCCAAAGTGAAATATTATTACCCGTTTGATTGTCATTTAGATGTTTTCGAATGTGTTTTTGCTTAAAAACCCTTTGCACAAACACACACAATAGATTGTTTTAATTTTGCACAACTTTGGCTTCGTTCATTTGAGACAAGCTTGATAAAAGAGATGGATAGATGCCTGGCAGTGTTTCCATTAATGGAGAGAGCATTCATCACGCTGCATGTCAAGCTTTTATATTGGGAGGCTGTAATGAATGAGAGTGGATCTGCCTTGTATTGGTGGTAATAGATGGGTTTTGTTGCACTCGTCAAGTCTTGTATGTGGAACTCCTTTTGAAAACAGGGACAATAGAAAAGCATTTAGCCCTCAATAACAAAAGAGGCTGTGAATGATTTCTAGAAGCTGTTATTATTATGATTAGCTGCACTTATTTGTTCGCAGCCATTAGAATGCTAGACGCAGTGCATGCAGAGACCTTTCCTGCTCTTATGCAGTGATTGACATGGATATGTCCTATAGGAGCTTCAACTTTAACATTCTGCTGCCATCTCACATGAAACCATGTGTGAGATTGCCTTGTTATCACTGATCTCAGACCTATATTTCCCACATCTCTGCGGTACTCTCCTCTTTGGCGGTGTGCAACTCACACTGTGTGGAGGAGATGATGAATGCCAGCCTGTCCACAGCCCTCATGCTGGGGGTCTGTTCTGAGGCCTGTGCTCTGGTCACAGTCAGGAGAAATTAACAACGTGCAACTCCCTTTTAGACTAAAGTCTTGTGTAACATTGTGAAACATTAGAAAGTAAAATTGGGGAGAGTGCTGAGTCATCAACTGCCAGTGTGTTTTTGACACACCTAATGTCGAATATTTCTCACTTCACTCTGCCGCCAGCTTCAGCTGAGCTTTGCTGCCAAATCCAGCAAGTGATACCCAGTTAATGGCTCCCATTGTTGAATATTATAACGAGGTGTTGTGTGGAGAAGTGTTGGTGGGTGATTTCAGCACCATGGACAGCGCTTCACAGGTAGCTGAGCTGAACCTTGTGAGTGCTTAAAAAATACATGTTTTTAGATTATATAACACTCTAACTGCAGGAAGTGTGCGTCTTTAACCACGTACACATCTGTGCTCGATGTCATGTATGTATTATCAGTCACAGAAAGACTGGTTTGAATGTCAGTTACCTGTTGTGTCTACCTCTCTTGGCCCTTCATGCTGATTTCAGCAGCAGCCAGTGCTGCAGAGGAGACTGCTTAGGAAGGATTAGACATTGTTTCCCTGACACCCAGGCCTCCCATCCGGGCCTCTGATTGGCAGACATAATCCCCCCATTCAGTAAACCTCCACAGCCCTGTCTGTGGAATACTCCATGCTCCACTGCCTCCTAGAGACGGGAGGTGCTCGATAAGGGCCTGCTGCCTGCATCACATTAAGTGCACCCAAATATGAATTTGGAATGCAATCGATTCAGGGCATGGCTTGAAGAGAATGGGAAGCAATTCAGAGTGGATGTATCAAGTGCATGGAGATGTAATATTGGTCGGGAGGTGGGATGCGTCACGCTGGCGAGCACACAGTGCTCTGATGAGAGAGTAGTGGTGACAGCCTCTGTCAAGTGGCCATAATGGCAGCCTGTCATCTGCACAGTGGATGTGTGTTTGCGTAGGCCACGCACACATGCAAATATGCATGTGACGATGCTATTAGAATTGACATTAAGGAGATTTCGTCTGATAATTGGGCATTTGCCTCTGATTTGACAGAGGTAATAGCACTTTGAGGTGGAACTCTGACTCTTTTATATGCAGCTGCATTAATTGCCAGAGTTTCCATTGTTGCTTCAAAGCGTGAGTGTCACCTCTGGAACCATATCCAACAATTAACTTTGATTTCCATTGTGTGTAAGACTATAATGTCCTTTATGCCAACTGACATATTTAGCGCCCATGCAAAAGGGTAATTACCTATTGTGTAGAGAATAGGATTATTTGTGATTATCAGGAGGAATGAATTATACTGTATAGAGTCTATGCCTCTGACAGATATATGTCGAGTGTAACAATAGATTGTCACCTCTGTGTTAAGGTTTTAATATGGACTCAAAATCCCTAGCACATCTGGGTATCACTTTCATTGTATTAGCCAGCTGATCCCTGACATCAGTTTATGAGTCTGTAATCTTCTAGGCCACACAATAGAGGACTAAACCATTTAACCCTGTAGGGAGGGGTGCCATGATAGGGGAAAGAAAGGGTAGAACACGACCGAGCTCCAAAACACTTGTCTTGCCAGCTCCAGCCTCTAAGCTTCCTAAGACGTGTCCCGGTTTGGGAGAAGTGGGGAAATCCACAGACACACAGACATGTACCAGGCCTGTGCCCCTCCCTTTTTCCTTTCACATCTTTGTGTCTCTGGCAAATTCAATTTTGTCTTCTCCAAGTGACAGCTTAAATGCACACAATCTTATCAGCCTCTGTGCAAGCAGAGGGAGGTGATTGAAACAGTCCTCAAGTATTGCTCATGCAGACCAACCTTTCAGCAGTGCTAATTGTGCATTTTCCTCATACTCTTTGTTGAAACGCACTCATAAACACAGCAGAGCCAAGCATTGCACTGCTCCACTCTACATCACCTTACTGTAGCACGTCTTTCTCCTCCAGCCTGATCTGTGGTTCGTTTGTCTGGCTTGTGTGGCTTAGCTTTATTCACCCTAAATGAAGACGTGTGAAAGTAAACAAGCAATCTGCAGCTCGGTGATTGGATGTGATTGTGCTTTGAAATGGCGGCTGAGGTGCTGTGTGTCTCTTGCAGTCGTACATGGAGGACCACTTGAAAAACAAGAACCGTCTGGAGCGAGAATGGGAGGCTCTGTGCTCGTACCAGGCTGAGCCCAGCACCTGTAACATGGGTCATGTCGAGGGCAACGGCAAGAAGAACCGGCCGGACGCTGTGGTCGCCTGTAAGTCTCAATATTCACTATTTACAACTGCAAGTTTAAGCAGCTCAGATCATCCAATATTACATCAGTCTTGTTTGGATACATTAATAGCCATAATACTTTTGGTTGCTTCCTAAAGTGGCTCTTATAAAAGCCTTTCTGCGATGTTAAACAGCTGTTTTGGTCAAAGCTAAATAATACTTGAAACAGCCAGCCATTAGGATTCTGAATTGCTTCTTGACCATTTCTATGTCTAGCCATTGATAAAAATGAATGAGCAGACATGTTTGCAAGGGATAACAAGGCGTGTTTGAATACCAAAGTGGATTCCGGATATCTGAGCATGCAAAGACAGCTTCTACATCTTGGCTTGTTTTAAATATGATGTTTCTCTTGGCACACAGTGAATTGAAGATGGACTGATGCAGGGGCTCGACGCTTCTGTGTGTTGTTGTGATAAAACCAGTGAAATTGCAGCCCCTTACAGCATTTTGATTTCCATATCCCTCTGTCGCGTTTGTTACTGCGCAGTGGAAGCAAACGGCACAAATGTTGATGAATTATGGATATGTCTATTACAGATGATCACTCGAGGATCACCTTGAAAGCGGAGAATAACCACGGCAACTCGGATTACATCAACGCCAGCCCCATCGTGAGTAGTGTTTGTACGCACGACGTCTAAAGCGCGTTGTTTGAAGCTTTTTCCGCGGCACACGAGCACCTGTTGAGCTCCGCGTCCGTGCCGAGATTAAACGCAATTCAAAAGCACTCCGCATTGATCCGCACCCACTGATCTTCGCTGTTACTTTGTTCTCCAAACTCTCCGGATTGGTTCATCACGTTGAATGATATTCCCCCAAAATGGCCACTCCCTCGAGACGCCCTCAAAGGATAACATTATTTAGCCCTAAACTAATGCAACAGACATCACAGTGCTGGGGAAGGGCGGAGGTTACTTTTCTGCTGTTTTATCCCTAAAATATAGCCAGTCACTGCTCTCCCTTGAGGGTACTGGGGCAAGATTCCATCAAAAAGAACAGGAAACTATGCATTTCAAATACAGTGGCACGGATGATAGATGAGCACGCACTAAAAGACCATTACTTCTCACAAACAAACAACGCAAGCTTTCCAGTCTGCCATTTCCCCCCATATTTTACATTTTCCAGTGATTTATTAAGACCGAGCATTGTAGACATAGACAGCCAGTGCAGTTGTATGGGGATGTATAAGTAAGTAAGTAAGTAAGGTTTTTTTGTATAGCGCATTTGACAGACCAAGGTCACCCAAAGCTCTTTGAAATGCTCAGATTTCAGATATTTTTCCATTCCCCCAACCAACACCATCCATTCACATTCAGAACTATTGTACATGGTTTTAGTGGAAGGGGAAACCAGAGTACCCGGAGGAAACCTACGCAGACACAGGGAGAACATGCAAACCCAGGACATTCTTGCTTTGAAAAGTAGTTTAATGGTAAAGATTGTGAAGTCATGGTGAATGCGTCGGTGTGTGGATGAAAAGATAGTAATTACACCACAAAGGGGGACCCCTGGTTGGACCTTTGCAAAAACTGCGGTAATTACGTCTGTCATGGCAGCGTCTTCCTCCTCATTAGCTTTGGGGCAGCAGCCTACGAGTAAATAATCGTCTCGTCTTTCTTGCAAGTCGAGTTCAGGCTCGCTGTAGCTGAAAGGTGAAGCTTGGCTAATGGCGAAACCCGCAAATGATCTAACTTTCCTCGCAAACATATACAGCATCATTATACGGAGAAACGCAACAAGAATGCAAAACACTGTAGCCCGTGTCTTTTGTCTGGTTGCTCGGAAGGCGGGCGCCAGGTGTTGAAGTTGACACGCGTTCCGGTTGAACACAAATTTCAACCAAAAAGCCATTTTACTTCAGTGGCGTCCTTTCGTTTCCACCCCCCCTCGTTGTAGTAGTCTATCTTCTTGCTACAATTGCAAAAGGGGAGGCTGAGGAACGCAGGATGGCTCTTTCAAGTTAGAGCTTTAGTATTCATGCCGGGTTGTCAGCACCGAGCTACTGCATGTCTGTGTCCTTGAGATTGGCTAAACAGAGTGCCAGCGCCATAGCATTTGCGGGGTTTTTTTTTTTTTTCTTAAAGCAGAAAGCCCAACGTATATATACAGATGCTAATTGAAGCTGACCAGTGGGTAATGAACAATGTGAATGATTTATGTGTGTTTTCTCGCCTTCTGTTGAGGCCAATACATTCACTCTTGCCCCATTTATTCCCATGCATTAAACATACAGTTAACAATGATCCCCAGCCTCTAATTCAGATTCAGCCTTTACTGACCTAAAAAGAGCAGTATTGCCTCATCAAATAACGAGTTTGTAATTTCATCAGCGAGCGAGGTTGGGATAAAACAGGAAGTGTGTGTTGAGACAAGTGAACTCCGAGTAAACACAGAGACGAGACAGTGGTAGGAGAGGAAATTCATTTGAAGGTGTCTGTTTGGCTTAAGGGGAGATCTCATTAAAGGAAGAAAGTATTCATGGACAAATGCTGCTTGTTTCACTGTTTATGGGGAGTGTTTGTGTTTTCAGGCGAGTTTTGGAATGAAGACAAAGACATACGATGATATTCAATAGCTAGAGCAGAAAATTACACATTAAAATCTTATGCTGTGTATCTGTAGTGTATGCTGAAACGTTTTTAAGATATAGAAGGATGAGAAAGTCCTTAAATGAGACATCTGATATTAGTCATTTCTATAAAACCTGAGATTTCTATAATATCTGAGGTTTTAGGCGGAAGTAAATTACTGAATCGTTAAAGTTTTAGCATAGTATTTCATTCAGTTTTGACGCTTTTTGAATCTTAAAGGTGAGGTACAATCTAGGACACAGGGGTCAAACACTAAGAACCTTTTTTGTGGCTCTGAAATGATTTTGAAGGATTATGACTGACTAGCTGCATTGGTGTTAATAGGTATCATGGCATGTTATACCTCATTTTAAAGCTATTTTCTCAATAAAATAACAACTTTATATGATGTATTATAAAACCTGAACCCAAAATGAATTTGAATATAAAATATATCATTGGCATTCGTCTACAATTACAATTCTTTGTTACATTTGAGTTTTGTTGAGTCAAACCAAACAAACAGTAACTCCTTTAGTTCAGAAGAATCTACATTAATATATAAAAACTTGCGTCAGATAAAATATATATAAAATCTTGTGTCAAATAAAATCCTTTTGTCATGAGACCTTCATAATCTAAGAATCAAATGCACAAAAATATCCACATATACAAAGAAAACTCTTCAAACCAACTTTCTACTGAGAAAACCACATTGTATTATTTCTTATTATTTAAATTTGGCCCAAACCAAAATATTGTTAATCTTTGATCTATAGGCAATAGAAAGTGATCATGTAAGAATCCCCATGTCGTCACAATATAAAATTTAAAACTTGAAAAAACAAAATCAATACCAATTTTGATTCTTATTTTGACTAAAGTGTGGTACAAGTTATTATGATATAGTTTAAAATGAATCACAAGCTGTTTTCGACACACATATTTCAGCCTTTCTTCTGTCAGACACCGCATCATTTCGCTTCTGTATCTCGGGGGCATGCATACAATTTCCCCTTATCAAATGTGATCATTGATTTGGGGTAAGAGAGGGGGAGAGAAGGGGGGGAGGGTTGCATCAAAGGCAACACCTCCTCTATCAAGTCCCAATCACATCCCTCACATCACGTCCCCTGTACGTGTGTCATTATGTCCCGCCTTCAGGCCCTGGCGCCGCACGTCACTGCATGAACAATGGGGACGGCGAGGTCGTTAGTTAAGCTCTGAGATGGAGCAGGCTTTCCCAAAGAAGACACTTTTTTTGGTTAAAACAAGTTGATTTACAGCAGTGCGTACGGTATTTAAGCTCAGTGACAAATGAGCAGTTAGTAAGGATTCAGAACTAGGACTGCAAACTTTACTTTCAATTGCATTCAGAGCAGAAACAGATGCTATTATGGAAGTAGCATCATTTCTTAAGATGAAAAAACACAATATTCTCTGTGTCATAAGTATAAAACATGACAATTCTCCGTGATAATCCTTTATGAATCTATATAACGTATGAATCATTTGACATTGGCCAGACACACACCTGCTTTCACCAACCAACCTCCAGTTTTATTGAAAATGCGTTTCTTTTGGGGGCAAATTCGGCTTCCGAACAGAAAACGAGGGGGACTTTGTAAAAATCTCTCATCTCCACAACCGATTTCTTTGTGCTTGCGATGACCTAGAGAGCAATTACACCCCAGCGCAAGGCTGAGTTAGTGTTTCTTTCTATGCAAAACAGTACAAGTGTGTGGCCGATGTTTTAAATTCCCTTTCCAAACACGGCATGAGCTGACAGGCATACAAAGCACGTCCTTCAGATTTGTGTTCGACATCTACTTCATGCCTGCGTGACATTCAACGTTTACCAACAATAGCCCGCAGCCCCCTTTGCATTCTAATTTATTTTAATCACAGCCTTTTTAATAAACGGACATATCTGCGGGGTTATAGAAATGTAGTAAGTGGAGGAAGGACGGTGAATGGAGCGAGATGGAGAGAGATGCATCACACCCAAGGCTTCCCGAGAGACGCACAGCTCTATCCAAATGGAGTCTTTGATGGAAGTCTTATACCCAGACTGTGTTTTCATCTGCCCCTACACTAGCTCACTCTCTGCCCCCTCTCTCCCAGATGGACCACGACCCCCGCAACCCCACTTACATCGCCTCGCAGGGCCCGCTCCCCTCCACCGTGGCGGACTTCTGGCAGGTAAGAACCGGGCATCTCTATTCACAGACGTACTCGCTTTCATCTCGCGTTTTTATGAAGAGAGTTGGTTAAAAAGAGGAGAGGGAGAGAAAAAAAAGGCTAGAAAAGAAGTGGAGCACACAAGGGCCGCGCTGCTATACTCCAGGTCCATGTGTTTTTTTTATGACGGATGGTTTTTGAAGTTTTGAATGTGCTCTTCTGGCAAACAGAGGGAGAAGAAAGGCCTGTACAGTGTGTGCCTGTGGAAAGGAACTGCTTCTTCAAAATAAGGCTGTCATTAAGAAGATGGGAAATGAGGAGGAGCAATCTAATACTAATATTGTAATTACGTTTTCTTTTTGAGGTAACATTGGTGACGTCAGGGCAACAAAAAGTACTAGCAATGCCACTATATGGTTTTGTAGTAAAAATCCAGCATCAAAGACAAAACCATAGATGTCACCTTAACAAGCCGACAAGGGACTACAGATGTAAAGTCGCAGTAGCTAAATCCGGAGCAAATCATCTTTAATTTGTAAAGACACATGCTTTTTTATGTTGTCCTTGTGAGATATACTATAAACTGACTAATTGACTCTCAGCTCCTGCCCAGAAATAACTCTTAAATCTCTAGTACTCGCTAAAATAACATTTACGCTAACGGTTAATAGCATGTTTTAGTCCTTTGTCCATAGACCCATATCATTAATTGAATATGCACAGAGTCGGAGCTTATAGGCAGGTCTGCTTGGTTCATGTCTGTAAACGATGCACCGTGGCCCTAATGGCGTTCTCTGGTGTTAATAGAACAGAGCAGTAATGAATGGGTCCATCACCTCCATATGGTGCAGCGACTGGACCAGCGTGGCCCACGTTAAGGACTGAGGGCCATGAGCAGATGGGGACTCTGTCTATGAGTCAAACGTGTTGGATCTTAGCACCTTTTAGACCAACTAAGTCTGGAAAAGATAAAGAGGACTTTTTTTTTTTTCGTCGTTGGATAGTAAGGTAGTAAAATAGTTATTTAATTAACCCCTTAATGTTTACTCCATAAAGAAAGCTTGCTATGTTTTTCTGTTTTTGATTTTGTAAGATGTAGATAGATAAATACTTGATTGATGCTGAAGAAAATAATGTAGGAGGACTAAAAACAATTATTTATTTTTGTAATGTTTTTTTATTATATGCCTTTACCAAATAGTTGAGATGCAGTTTGATGGTAAAAGTGCCTAAAACCAAGTGATAGAAATGCCCCAATAAGGGAGAGTTAAGTTCCAAGCTTCAAGTATAGGATTTAGTGACTTAAAAAGTGATCCACCAAATGTTTGAGGAAACCAGGGTTAACATATAAACAGAACATCTTTGAAGCTAAAATGTAATGTGGTTTGAGAAACGCTTAACCAGGCTTTAAACACACAAACTTCCATATAAGAAATGATAGTTACTTTTCTTGTAAAAACACTGCTTGCTCGTCTCTCGGTAAATTGCTTCCTAAAGATAAAGCTGTTGCCGCTGTAAACCGTGATTCATTTACATAGCAATGAGTTTGTCATTGCTTCAGGTGTGTGGCCTTAATCGACTGCCGTAGCTCCAGTTGGAACCAAATAGATTTAGTTTAATTAGTACATTTATAAGTGCGTTGAACAACACAGCTGATAATTATCACTTTTGTTTATTTGCCTGACAGTTCTTTCCATGCCAGGTGAACAAAATGCATTATCCCAACAAAATGAGCTGTTTAGCCCAGAAAAGCAGCTCTAAACTCCTGTCCATTAAGTGAAAAATAATGGGGAAATTAGATGTGGATTGACATGCTGACATGGTGAACACCCGACTAAGCAAAAGCCATTCATTATTCAGCTGTGGTTGGATTGTGGCACGGAAAACAACACGCTCTCTCCCTTATTAAAAGTAAACAAAAAGGTGGAAACACTGGCAGTCTCATGCAAATGGACCATGCAGGAGGCAAATCTCTCTGCTGTGTCCTATCTCTAATCCGGCCCGGCCCAAGGCAGCGCTCTGAAAGGCTAATCCCTCGCTCCTCTCCTCATTCCTAGCTCTCCTCTGGTGGGCTCTCATTTACACCACCCAAAAGGAAAGAAACACATGAATCAGGCTAGTCAGCAGCAGGCTCCGCAAAATGCACTTTAGTTATGTTTTAAAAGAAAAGTAGAGGACGTTTTACACACTGGTGGATTTGTGATTTTAAATGCACAAGGTTAGATATTGTGCTTGAGAGAAATGATCATTGTTTTGTTAAGACTGTTGTAAGAAAGGGTGGGGTTTTACTACTTCTCACTCTTATCAATGGCACAATGGTTGTACAATGTTTTATCTAAATTCATTCATTCATACTTCGAGAGAAAAGGTATATTAAGGAAGTGAAGTAACTTTGCTCTACATCTTTACTCGTTAGCCTTACTCAGAAATATTCAAGATTCAAGAATTTATTTGCCATTTGCAGTAAAACCACATTGGAAAAACTGTGCAAGACTACCCCAGTGTGCATCAGATAGTATTAATGTATTTATTCATGTATTTGACAGGGACATTGCAAGAGAACAGAACAAAACAAGCTTGCAACTGATGCGATGCAAAAGTTTATTGTTATTTCTAATTTTCAGCTCCAGTCCCTGGTTGGGCCTTTCTACACTACCTTAACATTTTCAATATTCTCTTAAAAACTTACCAATTTACACTGTTTAAATCATCAGAGCTTCTTCCACAGCGCCATATTTTGTGGAATAGATAAAATCCCTGGAGAGATAGAGCACTACTAAAACTAATAACAGAAAACAAAACAAGAAAATGTAGTGAGACGTTTGTGGGAAGCCAGGTCGCAGTATAGAAAGTGTCCTGGATTCAGAAGCTCAATTAGCACGTCTGCTACATAAACAGTTTTTTATCCCACATCTCTGTACTTCTCTATACCTTTCCCCGGTTTGAAATGCTTGCTTTGTTGGTACAGAATGACCTGGCTCTCCACTCATGCAAGAGGAGAAAAATGTCTCTGTGACCAGCTCCAAATATTTGCCAAATCTTGCCAAACTAAACGGAGCAGGACATTATCATCACCTTGGCTAATGTCCTCCCATCCTGACACAGTTGGGATCTAATGTCCGTGCCGCCGAGCCGGTTCAGGAGAGCTTGTGATTAGTGTTTATTCAAGACTGTTGTGGTTTTATAGCAATCATAAAAAAAACAGCATTTCAGACTCATTTTGCTAATAGCTGCTCTGGGCCTGCTTTTGATCCCAAGGACATGTTAAGATTGTGATAAGATTAAATGGAGCTTTTAAAACAAAAAAGACAAAAAAAAAGGGGGGGGGGGGGGTACAGTGTGTGTGGACGACCCCCCCCCCCCCCCCCCCCCCCCGCTGCTGCAGCCAACATGTATCATTTGACACACCGCTGAGACATGACATTTATTCATACTTCCTGGACCCGGATTAAGAAATCAATTTCAGTTTAATACAAAGCTGTCAGTAATGCTAATGTGCAATATGGCGCCATCTCTGCAGAGTTCACCTGCTCTATGCACGCCAGAGAGGACTTCTGACACACTGCAAGAAGTGATGAAAATAAGTTTATAATTGCTTAAATTTGGCAAAAGGCATCTTAATATGAGCACCTTTTGACTGCTTTAAAACAATATCTGCCATAGGGACAAGCAAAATTATAATGTTTTAACCCTTGTGCTATCATTGTGTCAAATTTGATTAAAAAATACCCTAAAAATATGTTTCTCAAGCTGAAATTTGAGGATTCTTTCTAACTTGACCAGCCCTGGATCATTTAGACCCATTTTGACCCCAATTTATGATATTTTCTTCAACTTTTATTCATTGTTTTTGGATCATTCCGACGCCAGGGTTGCGCAAGTTTAGAAGAAATGTCTCTCTTGGAATGAAAAAATAAAGCAGCAGTTCTTGATATACAACTAAACGGCTTTGTCTCATTGGCCAAACGTGTTCTATGAGTCAGAATGTTCTCAAATTAAGATAAAAACCACTCGACTACCACTTGAAGCAATTATTACCTCATATTTGATCATTGTTGGCGGTGTAGTGATGTCCTGTCCTTTTTCCTGGTGGGTAGATGGTGTGGGAGAGCGGCTGCGTGGTCGTCGTCATGCTGACCCCGCTGTCGGAGAACGGAGTGAAGCAGTGTCACCACTACTGGCCGGACGAGGGCTCGGACGTCTACCATATCTATGAGGTAACGTGTAAATACCTCTGTTTAAATAACATGGGGATACAGAGACTAAACTTGCATCGGGGACCTGACGATAACTTAATTACGCGTTTTAAACTGTAGCCATTAAACTCGTCAATCAATGTTGCAACAGATTTATCTCCAATCTAGAGCCGGGCAATAAAGTATAAGGAAGTATGCACAATATCCGAATGGTTTTCAATTTAGGCACATTTTAATAACGGTTATATTAAATGCGTTTATTGAATTGATTGTGAGATAGCTGAATACGAATAGAACATTCTTCAAACATACATATATTTCATGTGAATCTTAAACATGGACCACCTCAGCTATTGTGGTCCAAGGGAAAAAGAGAGAACACAATCTGGTGAAAGCAATGATTGCAGAAACTTGATAAAATAAAATCTAAATTCTTCCATCTACATTTTGAGAGTGCAATGCATTCTTTTTTTTCTTATTTTCTTTTAAAATCTTTCACAAGTGCGGCTCGTCCAGAACATGTTGGTCTTTTTGAATAGTAAACATAAACATTGATTTCTCAGCACCTTCTTTCTGTACATTTTCCAGCCTTTTTCAATCCGAGAGCTACTTTTATACAACACAAGAGGCAGACATCTACTCATTTTTGCAGGCGTAGTAAAAAAAATCTATGGAATAATTAAAACAAAACATGGAAAACACATGTAAAAGATACCATAATACTGTATAACCCTATGTTTACACTTATTATAGATATGTACTGACTCAAAAGTGAATTATTCAAGATCATGTGTTGAATTCTAAATCCTACGGGGAGCTACCTGGAAGGGCCTGGCGAGCTACTAGTATAGAGAATATTGACGGGTTAGGGTTCAAAAAGCGGCTCTCATATATTATTATTGCATGTTCCCATCCCCTCACCCTCCATGGTCCTCTACCTCTCTCGCAGGTGAACTTGGTGTCCGAACACATATGGTGCGACGACTTCCTGGTGCGCAGTTTCTATTTGAAAAACCTGCAGACAAACGAGACTCGCACTGTCACCCAGTTCCACTACCTGTCCTGGAGCGACCGCGGCATCCCCACCTCGGCCCGCACCCTCCTGGACTTCCGCAGGTAAAGGCCACGCCCCCGGCAGACCTCTCACATACAGCCATAAAGTCACAATAACCAAATCTGGATCTGGGTTGCGATTTTCCACAAAAGGTCGGAAAATGTCGAGGGCTACAGTGCTACGATTAATTTCAATTCAATGTATTTGTGTAAAGCCATAAATAATAAGTCTCGAAGGACTTTACCAAGTTGTTATGGACATTGGTCATCTGCCTCTTCTGGACCAATGGCTCTATATGTTTTTTATCATTGCATTTCTGGTTTGATTCTTGGATCTGTGTTGGCGAATTCAGCAGTTTTATTAAGTCCTCCGAGATAACTACTGATGTGGGTTAGGGCTATACAAGAATACATTAAATTGTCGATTCACCAACAACAGCTCAGAGCAGTAAATGCAGGATGGAATAACAAACACAAAGGAACTACTGGTCTCCATAGAAAGGGGGTTCACCAATGTCCATAAATGTCCATAAATGCGTATTAATGTCCTTATAACATTACGCATTATCTGCAGAAATCATCAAGTACATTGGATTCATTAACACAAAAAACACATCATTGCATCTCTAAGTCCACTGCATCAGAGTCAAAGTGAAAGTAAACATTGACACAGATACACACTTTATAAACAGGGGATTAAAATTACAAATACTTTACATTGGTTCTAGCAGTTTGTTCCAAAGCTCCACTGTCAATGGGACAAAAACATTGAAGAACGCTTTGTGAAAACGATATTAACCATTTTTTTTCCCTTGTATTTTCCATGTACTTGACGACTATTTTCCTTTGGTGTCGTGTTGTTTGATAGGATTGAACATGTGGTTTCCTTTTACCAGTTTCATAGCAGTCTAGAGACATTTTGAGACAGAAAAGATCAAAGATTAGAAGAATAGAACGCTTTGATTCTGTCGAAGTTCACAAAATGACTGGTTGATTCAGTTGCCCAAAGAGAAAGGTGTGGTAATATGTTCAGGCAAGAACAGATATTACTTTGACTGTGTGTATATTCTGAACTACAAGGTCATTGTGGTGACATGTCTAATCAAAACTACACTCACACTCTGCCTGCTCTGAACGACCTCCTCTTTCCTGAAAATCTGTCAAATCTGCCCCCTCTTGCCTCTCGGTTGCCCTGGAGAATGCCTGCTCTAAAACCGGCGTGTTTTTTTTTTTTTTTTTCTCTGCTCTCCTTTTCATCCTGGGCCCGTTTCCCTCACCTCCCTACAGCTCATGTGATGCAGCAAATTAACAGCCCCGCACTGCCTGGCTTGGCTTGGGAAGAAAAAGAAACGAGAGAGAGAAAAAAAAGAAGAAAAAAAAAGCAAATTGAAACAGCCAATTAAATGAGAGCTGTCTTTCTAAAATCACAGATAGGGGGGAGGTGGTGACTGAACCACTTCGCTGTCTGCTTGTAATAAGCTTTGGTGCAGGAGAAGCCACCAGTCTCCAGAGAAAAGCCTGGAAAACCTTTTTAAATGAGAATAGATGCATTTGCTTTGGCCTGGGAGTCTGTCCGGGCAAAGCAAACGAAACAAAAGGGACAACAAAACCAACGATTAAAAGTAGTACTACCAAAGCTCTCTCTCTCTCTCTCTCTCTCTCTCATCGGTTTTTAAAGGATTTTTCTCGCTCACAAACTCTACCGCCGCGGCGTCATGGTTTCGGGCATCCGTGCGTTGCGGTTGCCAGTGTCATTTTTGTGATGTTGCAGCTAGTAATATGAGCCCAGTTGCATAGTCACAAAAGTGATCATTGGAAACTGCGTCTCCTCAGCCAGGCCTGTGCACAAACTGTCTCTCTCTCACCCCCCCGTACCCTCCCCTCCCCTCCCCTCCCCCCAAACCCTCCTCCTCCTCTTTCTCCTCCTCCTCCTCCTCTGCTCCTCCCTCTTGGCTTGCATGGACACGCCAACCACCAGCCCCGCGTGCTGCCGGGGAAACGGTACTAATGAAAAGGAACGCTATCTCCTCTCGCAAATTCTGTTTGATGAGTGAAATGTGTGGTTTGAAGTTTTCTGACACTGAATGATGGAATAACAGTATCTGCTTTCTTCCTGTGGTTTGGCTGATGCTATAGTTGATCTAATCATTTGGGCTGTTTGCACTCAAGAGACCGCCATCATTCATTTTCTATCAATAAACACGGTTCTTCTTTCTTCCTTCATTGAATATAACAGAGATTTTGTGGATGTTGTGACTTGAACATTGGGGGAAAAAATGAATAAAATGCTTGAGTCGAGTAGATTTGTCTGGATTCAGCTAAATGTTTTCGTGTCTTAAAACAAGATTTGCCAAAAAGGAAAAGCAACATTTTCTCATTCCAAGTGAGAATTTGCTTATCTCTTAAACAAGTAACGTGTGCTCGACCTGTTGGGGAATCTCGTGGTAAGATCATAGACTGTATATAGATGGACAATGCTAACCTCAATGCTAACCTAAATGCTAACCTCAATGCTAGCTCAATGAAACCCAATAGGAAAGTACTAATGAACCAAGTTTTGCTCCAACTCGCTCTGGCTCCTATTGATTTATATTGAAAAGTAAACGCCTCAAGCTCAGCAACTGTTTGTGCCACATTCACCATTTTGGGCTTGAAAAAATCCATGGTTTAGCGCTCTCTTGTGTTCTGGTTGTCTTTGTAAATCCAGATATGAGCCACATAAGTCATGACCAATCAAGATGCCTTCATTTGTGGAAGAAGAACTCCAGCTTCCTTTAGCAACCATCTTAGTAACACTGCCCCTGTAACAGCGCTTCAAATGCCCATATATGGAAATTGGCTCCAGCTATCTTATACTCCAGCTAGCTTATGTTCAAAATAAGCTAGCTGTCTCACTCAGTCCATTCCTAATATACGGTCTATGGATAAGACGGACAACATTGCACTAAAATCCAGACAAACCTTGTAATTCAAGCATTTTTGACTGTCATTTTTTGCAGTGTCCCAACAAAACCCGACTAAAATATATAAAGAACATTTTTGATTCTACTAATACTAACTTGCATTCAACACTGGGTCTGTCTGGGCCCTATAGCTGTCAGTTATTTTGAAAAGCAACAAAACCCTGTGCAGTATGCTCTTGTGATGAAATATTTAGCTCTTTCTACATTGATAGGTGAAAAATGGGGATGTGGAAAGACGTAGGGAGCTCCCGGTGTAGTCAATAGTTTCCATGGCAACAGCGGGGTGTGAAAAGCCTGGCTGGCCTTCACCGCGCCTGTGGTGTAAAACATTCATAATTGGCCAGGGTTAATGCGGCGGCGGACGGCGATCACAACATCACACTCATGCATCCATCAGCCGCGCGTCACAGGAACGGCGTTTGAAGAATGCTCAGTTTATTTACGTAGCGCAACATAGATCTCTGTCTCTTGCTCTAGTGAAAGTGATTGACTAACAGGGGAGCGCATCACTCAACATTTTGCTCAATCTTCTGATTATTGCGTCCATTCATTTTCCCCAGGCCACCGAGGAGACGTCCCATGTGGCATATTTTTGCTCTAATTGCCGCTGTTACCATCAGCGAGAAGGATCGATCTTTGCTTCAAAATATGATTTATTCACAGGATGAGTTGCAATCAAGCTCAAGCTAACATTGCATTTTCTCTGTTTTTTTATTTCAGAAAGGTTAACAAGTGCTACCGGGGCCGATCTTGTCCGATAATTGTCCACTGCAGGCAAGTATAAGTGTGTGAAGCAGTGACAGTGGCTGACCCCAACTGCACTGAGGTGAAAAATGTTTGTCCTGGTCTGTGTGTTAGCTTAAGTCCGTTTGCTCAGTGAGTCGAGCTGCTGTTGATTCCACCGGCTCTGTCCTTATGGAAATATTCCTGCAGACACTCACCCAAAACCTTTCCATTTCCCATTTGGCTGAGTTAGTTAAGTGAGTGTGATTGGTTTGCATTAAACACCAGGTATCTGTCTAGCCACTTTTAATAGTCACATCCTGTTAAGTCATGCGTGGGGCCAGGCTCCACGCGGCAGCCCTCAGAGAGAGATGTGCGGGCCGAGTGTCGGGCAGTGGATTAATGAAGCAGTGGTGCTCAAGCCGCTCTCCTGTTTTATTGGCCTCGCCTTTATTAGAGAGATGTGCATGCCTTGTTTGCAATTAACATGCAGAGCCGTTGAATGGCCAGCGGGCACAAAGGGAGGCTTTTCATAAGACTATCTCTGGAGTAATGGAAAAGCAAGGCTCTCCAAAAGCTGCTCTGGAACCGCCCCTGGCCTCTCACCCTCTCCTCTGCTCCTGAGATGCATGCATTTAAAAGCCTTTGTCCCCAATGTGCCTCACAAGCCATTCCCCACTCTCCAACAGACCACACATGAGCTCGTGTGCAACGGTTTAACATAATCACTTTTATTGGAACATCAAATATTCATATATTTTATTTTCACCACAATATTAGAGGATTAATACTGATTTCTGCGTCTTGCCTGTCCCATATTATCTGCAATATCAAGCTTTTAAGCAGATGGGGCAATGTGTGTCTCTCTGCATAGACTAATTTGTGTATAAATTTACTCCCTACTTCACAGTCTCTCAGCAGATGCACATGTAAATGAGCAATTTGTTTCCTTAAAAGAAAAACACTCTTAGATGAAAGCGGCGGTGTCTGTCCTCTGGTCTCTAACCACCTTCTCTCTCTGCTCTTGCAGCGATGGCGCGGGGAGGACCGGGACCTACATCCTGATTGACATGGTTCTCAATAAGATGGCCAAAGGTACCGATCAATGACTTTCTTTTCTCTCTTTCTGCCTGTCTCGAGGTGTTTCCCTGGCAACGCTAAAGCTGGTCATTTTCCACCGAGGGTCTTGCAGATGCATTAGAGGGTGACTTCTGTGAGGCCTGGAAAGACAGGAGGAGGGTGGGAGCGCACACAGTAGAACAAAGAGTCCAAAGCAAAGTGGGAATGCTGGAGAAATGGGGAGCCCACATTAGTAATTATCTTTTCTGCGGTCACACTGTGTTGACCTGCATCACAATGGCAGGCGTGCATTTAGACAGCGTATGCATGGAGATGAAATGTTTAAAGAGAAATGGTGTGCAGGTGCTGCTCACTGAAACATCAACACTTAATATTTAATACCTCAGATATATATCATTGTGTCTATTGATTTGGGATTATTTTACCAGTCATGGATGGATATAACCTCACAGTACGTCAATCAAGCTCTGTAGGGCTTCCACGAAATAAATTCTCAGCTGATCAATTTGTCGATAAAAAAGGCTGCAAGTTTCAAAACTAAAATGTAATTCTGACTCAAACTGCACTCATAAGAAGTGTATGTGATATTAACTATGGACCCTTAGGGCTCAAAAGTAGCATGAAAGCAACCTGGCTTCCCACCAACGTTTTCTCAAATTTTTCTAAAATGTTTCTGTTTTTTAATTTCTGTTATTGGTTTTACTATTCCTCTATCTCTTACTAAGTATCCTGGCTCCACATTGAGTCTGTTTCGCATCGTATTTCTGAAAAACTGTTGGAAAGTATGATACAAAAGTGGCAATATTAGTCTATTTTTCATGACATTTTGGTTGGCCTTCACACAATCAACCAATGAACCGAATGAATGACTAAAAAGACCTACAACCCTAAATATCTCCCACAAAATAGTTGAAATTTCACATAAATTGCCCCATATTTCTGGTGCAGGTGCAGGGTTAAGCAAATGCTAGCTTTTCTTTCTCATTCAAATCCAAAATGAAAATTCGGGGAGCTCTGGTTGCACCTAATCTGACTTATCTCCCCTTATTGTTATTGGAAGCTGCTCCCCTCGTCCAAGGCTTAGCTTGCCCTCTGGCCTTTGCCCTTCGATCGGTCACCTTTGCCCCGTCTGTGAGCTCCCCTCCTCCTCCTCCTCTTGGGGCAGTCCCACCGCGCTCCCAGCCCAGTGTCTCCACAGAAACTGAGCTGAACCGTCCCGCTGGAGTTCAGAATCCAATTGGACACCGACCGCGCTGCAAAACTCCTTTCTTTTGTAACCTTTTGTGCCCCGCTGGTAAGAAATGAACATAATCGTGCTCTCTCAAAGTTTCTCCCCTGGTTCGAAAGCCTCTCCTCCTCAGCTTAACTTTGGAATCTCGCCCTTCTAAGACATGAAAGTCCAGTTGGAGCACTGAAGCACTTTGGAGTACCGGTCCAGCTGCATTAAATCCCTCCTTTTTCCTGGCGCTCTCACAGACGTTGCGTTTTCACTGGCTTTCAAAAACATCTCAGGAGCTTTTTACTCTCCTTTCGCCTCCCTTTTTCTCAAACTAAGCCCGGCAGCACGCGTGAAATCCATAAATCTGAAGGGAGAGTGAGATTTTCAGATTAACATCACACATTTGCAAAGCTACAATGGGCTTAAATCAAGAGCGGCTGATGACTGTGGAAGTCCTGCAACAGTTGCATGAGCCAGACTGCTGGGAAAGCTATAAATCATATTAATTAGATGGCGGTACATAAGCAGGCGTACATGCAAAACTAGTTAGATGGTTGCATTAGATTCTGTCTATATTGTTCCTGAAACCATTATTGCACATTTGTCATAGCCAGATACTTCCTTGTGCATATTTTATCTGAAGCACAAGCGTGGCTCGGGTCCAAGTCTTTCGAGGGATGAATGTAATAATTTTCAATGGCTGCTTCTGGTCCAAAGGGAGCACAGCATAAAGAGAGATTGACAGATGTGAGCGGAATTACTCAGCCCGCTTTGAACTCACTCCAATTTTCGGTGTGTTGCAGGTGCTAAAGAGATTGATATTGCCGCTACCCTGGAGCACTTGAGAGACCAGAGAGCTGGCATGGTCCAGACAAAGGTAAGGTCCTAGGCATTGAGCTGGAGTGGTCAGGGGGAGGGGGCCAGGCCTTTCAAACACACTATTGTGACACAAGGAGGGGACATTATGTGGTAAATATCACTCAATGCTGCACATTTATCAGTGGACGGTTTCAAATATTACATTTGCATTCAACCCAAGTCACTGCAGCAGGTGTCTTTATTAAGTCAGTTTCCGACATTTATTGTTTCTGTAGTTTTTTAATTTTATTTCAGTTTTGTCTATCTGTATATCTATATTCCCTTATTTAATCTTAAACTTGGAAATAGGAGGATTAATTTCCTCACCCCCTGTGAGGGCTTCTGATTCTGCAGCCAGTGTAAAGTTTTAAAATAGCCGAAGAACTTTGATAAGTTTGATTGAAACACCAGGGTTAATATTAGCCCCATCAGCGCTGCTATTTTGGAAGCCTTCGCCTCACCGTCATTTCGCAGCAGGCCCTCTCCACCTCCACCATTTTGGAAAATGGTACTGCATGTTCCAAATGTTTCAGGCTCCAATACAAACAGCCACAAGCCTCTTTTGTTTCTCTTTTGTAATGTGCAGGAAACATAACAATAATAATAAAGCGGCCTGGAGCAGTGGGTGATCATATTGATGTGCAAACAGACTGCTCTGTTCCTCGAAGGTTCAGTAATGCAGCTTTTACAGCTCTGTACTTGTATAAAACACACACAATCACTCAGGCTCATTCCATCTGACACAAGTGAAATTATATTGGAATACTGTTGATTCCACTTTGGGACTGCATGCTGGGTCTACACAGAAATTAGCTTGTAATGAGCTATGAAATTCAGACTTAGGTTTCAAGGATTGGGCTGCCAATTATCCCTTCTTTCCTTTATGATGTTGCCACTTTATTTTTGGATGGGGCTTGAAGAAAATAAACATTGATTTGCCTTTTTTTTGGCTACCTCTTTGACAGGCGTCAACACGCCGTAATTACAGCATGTCTAGCCATTTCTCCTCACTCACCATTTGTGTGTGATCAAGTGGACAGACATTGATCTCCCCCTAGTGGTTGAAAGTAAAAATACGCTCAATGCCCTGAAGGCTCTTCAAAGTATCTTTTCCAATCTAGGTGTGTGATGTATAGCTATAGACAGGTGCACTTATATATTCTCGAAGCATCAAAAATAGAAAACACTGGTGATCATCTCAAAGACACTCGCTGCTATTGATTTGGCCCATCCTCGGGCCAGACCATGGCTGTGCTGTGTGTTGACACATCTGAAGACTGTTCCCTCCTAACTCCTACACAGCTTTTTCTGTGCGAGTGGACCCCATGGCCTGCAGCCCGGGGAGAGGAATACAAAAACAGCAGGTCCAAGGGGCACACATCAATCAGCCCTCTTCCCTGCTCCTAAGGGACAACTCTGAGTCATATTCACCAACAGCAGCATACACACACACACACACACACACACGCACACACACACGCACACTCACACACCCACACACACGCACACACACACGCACACACACACGCACACTCACACACCCACACACACGCACACACACACACATACACGTTTTTGTTACCTGGTGGGTCCCTTTGACAGGGCCGTTCAGAATGGGACCCATAGACATAATCTTTTTTTACTGGGACTACTTTAAGTAATACAAAACAGTCAATAGAAACCAAACAACTATTTTAAAGGAATTTTATTTTAGATTTTGTTTTCGAATTGCAGTGATTCTATTTTTGACATAGAATTTAATGCCACTCCATGTCCGATGTCTAAGGTCATCTGGTGAGGCATTAATGCAGGCCAGGCCAGGCCAGGCCAGGCAGTGAGACTTCCCAGGGACCTTTCCAGTCTGTATGAAAGGTGTCATGGTCTTCTCCACAGCCTTCACCTCAGATGCAGACCATGGCTTTCTTACACGTTCTAGGGAGAGAAATAAAAATATATTAGCAATATACACTCCCAGGGTGAGGACCAAGCAGCCTGGCTGTAATCCCCCACCTGGTACACTTACCAGAAGGGGCACTGCCACTACCATGGGGTGCATCTGGATGAATGGTTGAAGGTTCTCCGCTTGAAGTTTCTTTTAGCCCGTCCGTTTGTGAGAGGATCTCTACTGCTCTCCCTGTCGCACAGAAAATAAAAATACAAGTGGCCTTTAGGGGAAAAAAATCATACATATTTTAATAATATCAAGAATTACCTTCAGGCTCAATTTGTATCTGGTCGAGGCTCTTTCCTTCGAATTCCGTCACTCTTCCCTGCTCCATGGCCATCAACACTTTGCTGATTTTGGCCAGCTCCAGTGTCCCCTCTGGTAGTCTGTAATATTGCCTGTGGATGCGAATGTCATGGCCGAGGAAGTTGGCAAGTATGTCCATCTCATTCTCTTTCATATTGAGAACTGTAGACATAGTAGCTATGTGCTTTCTAAGTTTGGTTGAGGATAGCATCTCTGGATGCACCGCACCACATTCTTTGGCTACCTGGCGTAGGGAGTCTGATCCCCTGATGTGGGTGTCTGCGCCCGGGCGGGAAAAGAAGTATGGGTTATGGTCAGAGATGGAACAGGCCCTTCTGTTCTCCACCAGCACCTCCATCCAAGCAATCATTTCAGGAGTCAAAAGAACCGGCACTTTCCGACTTCTTTTCCCTTTAATTTCAATGCGTTGAAAATGCTGACACAGCTTTTTCTCAAGTTGGGACAGTCCCAGAGCAATGTCAGAATGGATCCCAGTCTTACTTCTTAAGGTAAAGGCTGTCAGTGGCATCTTTGAAACCTCACCTTCCCTTCTTCGATTGAAAATGATGACCTCACAAAGAGTCAAAACTGCCAGTTTAGACCAATGCTTAGACGTTGGCTCACTTATTAGGGTTTGCACATATTCAGGTCGACATACCTCAATATGTGCATGCATGGCTCTAACGTCCTCAGTCAGAGGGAGCAGGTCCGGAGTGTTCCACTTGGCTTGCCGGAGGGTCTGTAGGGCAGCAGAAGAAACACAGACGTCCCACCTCTTCTCAAAAAGCAGCCGGCTTCGTTGGAGGTTTTTAATAAATAGTTCATCAACACAATGCTCCATTTTTGAGTCACATTCAAGAATATCTGCTAGCTTTCTGAGGCTATGGCCGAGTTTGAGGGCCAAGGATGGAGTCTTGTATTGATTTGTTTCCTCATCATATCCAGCCACAGACCTGACTGCATCAATCACATGGTTAAAGTTGGAAGGAATAAAGAAATCCTTAATTGTTTTCAGTTTCCCTGCGGTTTTTGCTTCGTTAATTAACCTACCGACTTCTCTCATTTTCTGCCTAATGTAATCATGCTTTGTCTTATCATGCCCGTGTTTTAAGTACAGGTGCTCTCCGAGTCTCAGAATCCCCTTTTCTGCTTTGACAACACCCGTGACCTCATCCTGATGCATTGCCGAAATTAAAGACCACAGCTTTTTGCTGATGCCCTCCGGTACAGGCTGGGCTAGGGAGCAGAGGGACTGGACCCTACTTCTACCTGGTTTAGCCTGGGCATCTTTCTGTGAAAGCCGGCACCTGGCCACATGCCTCCACAGCGACTTTCGCTTAAGCAATGCCCCACAGTCTATACAGTGCAAAAACTCACTGGATTTAACTGGGGAATTTGGCTGTTTAGCTGGGACTAAAGTTCCAATGCCGGCCTTTAAAACCTCAAAATTGTGCTCACGGTTTCCACTATTCCTGATCAAATCAAACTGAAGTTTACGTGCTTTAGATTTCACAGGTAGAGCCAATGCTCTGGCTACGTCACTTTCATTTCCATGTTTTCTAGTCAAATGACGGGACATTTTGTGGCAGGACATTGAACAGTAGAGGCAGAAGTGTCTCTTGCTGTAAACTCGCCCCCCATTTTTTTTCTTTTGCAGCTGCATGATAACAATCTTATTTGCCTTTGGTTCGTCACTTTCCGAGTCTTGAAGAAAAGTGTTTTTGATTTTTCTTTTTCCATACTTTTTTACAGGTTTCTTCTTGACAGTTAAATCGTCAGAATCTGAGTCGACTTCATCAATTAGGGACTCTTGACTAAGCTGCACAAACAACAAATAATTTGTAATCATTCTATATAACAATTTGAAGTCATGACTTGTAGTCAGCACTTACCAGTGGTTTGTAAGCGTGCGCTTCAGTGTGCTCCTCCATGATTTCTTGCAGCCTAATGAACCACACACTTGCACCTTTTTCTAGCCTGACACCTGATTTCCTCTGTTGTGCTGCTCCATGATTGGCTCCAGCCTGCTGGACTGAAATTGCCCCAGTGTGCCCCTCCTTGATATCCCGCAACCCACCACCAGGGTTCCGACACATAACACACTTTTTTCAGGAAAGTAAACCTCCAGGGGTCCTTTCCATATTTTTACAGAGACTGCATAAGGACCGTTAGAAAAGCATTACCCATTGATTATTAAGCTTGGACCAGTGGGGTCCGGTGTTCGGGCCCCACCACGTAAAACCAGTCCCCATGACGTGAGTGGAATCTCAGGTTATGGAACCCACCAGGAGTTGAAAACAAGTGCACGCACACACACACGCACACTCACACACCCACACACACGCACACACACACACACGCACACTCACACACCCACACACACGCACACACCCACACACACGCACACACACACACACACACACACACGCACACACACACGCACACTCACACACCCACACACACACACACACACACGCACACGCACACGCACACTCACACACCCACACACACGCACACACACACACACACACACACACACACACACGCACACGCACACGCACACGCACACACACACACACGGCTCAAAGGGTGTCCATTTTAAGGCACACCTGGACAACTCGATGAGCGGGAGGATACAGAATCTAGTTCAGAAATGGCCTGCCCTTTCAACAAGTGTCCACAATCACGGCGGTCAGGGTCAGAAGCAGCAAAAAGACGGATAAAAAACCACGAGTGCCAATCATTCTCCCGCTCTGAAATGCAAACAGGAGCTAAAAACCTGCTCTATTTTCTGTCTGTTGCAGGAACAGTTTGAGTTTGGCCTGACAGCCGTGGCAGAGGAGGTGAATGCCATCCTGAAAGCGCTCCCCCAGTGAAGACCCCCGTCCCTCCCACCCACCCCCTTTTTTCTCTCTCTTCTCAACTCTTCCCGATCACTCTTGGCTCAGTGAGCACAGCTTCTTCTGCCCACTCAAGGCTGACACCTCCTTTCTTTCCCATCTCTATCTATATACGCTATAGCTGTATACTTCTGAATGTCGTGCCAGCGTTCTCTCACCACTGGAGTCGTATCGCGTGAGACTTTTCTGACGTGTTGACACCGAATGGCGTTTGTACAGTGACATCATCCGACACATTTGCACACAGCCGGTAATATGGAGGATTCTCAACTTGTGGAAATGAATTTACTTCAAGAGCTATTTCCAAAAAGAGAGAAATGTGGCTTTTTTAACCAGAAATGATGAAGCCGGATCAAAACGTATAGAGAAACATCTGTAATATTATATACTGTTTGCTGCGGTGCTTTGTGAAAATGTGTCTTTATATGATCCAGTGATATTTAATGTGATAAAATCCAAGTCCCTATAGTGCCACCGATGTCATGTCCAGTTATATACGAGTTCTTCTGCCAAACTATTTCCATTTTAAACGCAACTAAAAATAATAGCAATGACTTCTGACTGGCTAAAATGTAGTCCTTGTCGTGTACCTTTTGATTAAATGGTATAATAATGTTTGAACTGACATTGATACGACCGAAGTCTCCCTCTGTGTCTCACTCTGATCTGCATCCTTGGGTGTATAACATTACATCATCACTGTTTATTTGCTTGAATAATCTGTCTCACGTTTGTTAACAATGAGTGTAATATAGAGATTATATTTAGATTAATGTCATCTTGCGGTAGTAATTGCAAAATGCTCTTAAACAGACTTGTATAGACTATAAGAACTGTCCATTCCATCTCTGCTGTATTGTGAAACGTGACGGATATTTTCTCTCCATCTTACGGACAATGAATGACATTACGAATCCCTCTATCTATAGTGCTACGAGATGTATACGGAGAGACTCGATATATTTTGTGTGAACAATATTAACATTGATAATAAATGAATCAAGAACAATAAGCCGATCTCCCGTGGTGAGCTCTTTCTTATCGCGTTTGTGGTTGGAATAAAGAGGAGCTGAAGGACGACTCCCTGTGGGGTTTTCACACTCGCACAGACGTGAATGCAGCTACTCAGGCCTAATGAAAATGAAATAACATTGTCTATAAAATGCACTCTTCATCATTCCAAGGGCCTGGGCCTGATTGTGAACTGTGAGTCAGGAGGCTATAGTTTTAAGCTGTTAAAGAATCCATGCTGGGCTCTTGTCTGTGGTGTAGTATCCCACATAAGGCCCCAAGGAAAAGTCTTAAAACACAGAAGTAAATATCAATCAATCAATGAATTCTTTATTTGTAGAGCACATTTAAAACAGCCTAGGTTTCCCAGAGTGATGTAAAAACAACACAATAAAAACACATACAAATACAAAATTATATATACACATACAAAATTAAATGTAAAAAACTGTCAGTAATGTCAGAAACTTAAATTGTATTTGTTGTATGTACATTTCTGAGCATGGGACACTGTACTATTATCTGCAGTCAGTATTTTCCAACAATAATGTATTTAAAACAGTCCCTCCCCTGGGCATAATGACGACCAGTAAGATGTTCTGGAGAAGTACAGTTAAGCCAATGATGAGGGGCCTTAAGGATTTGAATCCATTTCGACCAATCAGGAAGCTGCGAGGGTGAGCATGGGCGGGTCAAAACAGTGCTCGCCTTCACAGTTTGAAAAGTAACTGATTTAAAGCTGGGGTACCTCACTTTCAAACCACAAAAAAGTGAATTATGTCATAAAATATACCCAGTTCCTCGCTCTAAAAACAGGTTCTACTCATTTGACATTTTTTTCTCTGGCCTCAGTTAGTTTTTAGATCAGATTTTTCAGATACAAAAGTTCAGAAGAGAGGACCACCCACATGCGGCTCATCAGCTCTGAGCCCAAAGCATCACATAATGACTCCCAGGGCTCTTTCTTACAAGTATGCAACGTTTCTGAAAAGACAACACAATATGGTCTGATTTGTGTTACTTCTACTATTTAAGAAACAAAAAGTGTAATTTCATTCTGCACATTGACAATCAGTTTCTCCCTCTGCATTATTATGGTCTGTAGGAACATGCGGCTGATTTCCCATTGGATGAAAACTGTCGTCCTTTTAGTGGATTTGTTATTCATTTGTTAGCAGTGCGACAGAATGCACAGAGAATACCTTATTTTTCAGCTGTCTGCGTTTACAGCGGCTTGCAAAAGTACTAACACAAGTTTTTGCCCAGTTTCTATGTTTACGACAACAATCATGACAAAGCTACAAAGCTAGTTTCCAGCTGTAATCCCAGGGCACGGTGTGAAAAGACATCTACATTAGTAAACTTAAGAAAAAGAACATGTGTAGGCAAAACTTTCAGTCTCTAGATGTGTCTCTAGTTTGATCACACCTTGAGCCAAAGAAAATTCCTAGTTTGTGGCTTCCTGCTACTTACAAGTTGGCAATAAAAATGATTCTGTTTCTGATTGATCTATACCTCAAAAGACCTGCTGCTGTGATTTGGGCTCTAAAATGTATGAATATTTAAGCAAGCACCACTTTTATTTTTTATCCCAAAATATGTTTTATCATTTCACTTGCACTCCACATTTGACTGTTACTTTCCTGTAGCCTTAAAAAAAATAGAAAATACAAAATTCCTCAACAAAATCTTTATGTTTGTGGTCATAAACCTGTGAAAATACACAAAAGTAGAAGTTGTATGAATACTTTTGGTAACCGCTGTGTATGCACTGAATGGGGATGTCACAGTCCACCCAGAGGCCCTTTTCATGTTTCTGATTTTAAATTCCATAGCTGTAAAACATGTCAGGATAAACGAGTGCTTCTGTTGGCTATTAACAACCCGGGTCACTCATAATTGCCCCGTTACACCATCGGCGTTGCTGAAACATATAAATTGTTTGTTTTTGTTGAGCTATAAAACTGATAATATATTTTCCACCACATTATGTGCTATCACAGTACATAATTAATGAATCATTAGCATATGCATCACTCACATCTGATGAAGGCGGCCTCGTTAAAATCAATAATGAGGGAGACATGTATGAGACCGGTATGAGTGAAATCACAGGTTTAAAACTAAGTATAACATTTGGATTGGAGCAAAAAGAGAAGAATACGTGTGGGTTCATTCGCAGGGAAGCAGAGCAGAGCACGGATGGAGAGTCTGTAATGCCCTATGTGTGCGGATGTGTGCTCAGCTCCTCCCCTGACAGTTTTAATAGCGGCGAATGAGACTTCCAGAGGCCTCATTTACATATGAGTCACTGATGAGCTGCCACCGCTAACCAGCAACACCCAACCAAGGCCCTATTAATATTCTGGTATCCAGGTTGTAAAGCACACAGACCTAATCAGCTTAGAAATTAGTGTGTGGAAGCCGTAATTACGCATGTTTAATTGCTTATCATCTGATGGGTATAAGTTTATTAGAAAAATGTATTCATAGTAATTGCTTCCTGAGCCATGAGCTACTACAATACCATGTGATATCCTGTCAGATCACATTTGTAAGGATTAATGCACTCTCGAAAAATGACATACCAGGCCCAGCTCCTTATTTCGGATGCCTGCTTTAACTCAAAGTGATTTTTAATTTAGACATTTCGAAATTACTGCTTGAGCTCGGATTGGCTCTTTGGAGCGAGAAATCAGCGTCACACGGACTATAAACGGACACAAAGTAGGCAAACGTCTGCGTGATCATAATTCCGCTGAAACACTCCCACACACCTGCAGAGACAGCAGCCAAATCAAAAGTGACAGAAAAAGGAAAGTGGCGAGCAGGAAACGAGACAGCCACATCTAACCGGAGACGCGTGGATGAAACAGGCTGTGGTCAGGGCCCTCAGAGGAGCATGGGGCCGGTGCGAGGGCCTTCCCACGCGGAGCAGCCGTCACCAGCTCTGCCCCGCTCTTTGATGATCTCCACTGCTTTATTCTAGGCAGTCTTGGCACGGTGCTGTACTCTGACACACTTGTTCATTCAGGCCATTCAGTGGAACCATGCTCTACCAGGCCAGGCAGCAGCTCCTCTTTGGTGGCTGATTCTTTGAAGGCTTGAATACAAACACGGGTAGGGCTGTGGAGAGCATCAGATAACACGGGATTAACGCTGCAGACTCAAATGAGAGGCAAAAGGGGGGGTGTTTTGTTCATTTTTTGATTTTTTTTCTTTTAATTAATGATGTAATTTTAACCAAACATAATAATCTTCACGCTGTTGAGACATCCAATAGGAGTGAGAGGAATACTTAATTCAATCATAGACTAGAGAGAGACTAGAGAGAGCAACAGAGAGAGAGACCAGAGAGAAAGACCAGAGAGAAAGACCAGAGAGAGACTAGAGAGAGCGACTGAGACTAGAGAGAGAGACCAGAGAGAGACTGAGAGTGAATCCAGAGAGAGAGACCAGAGTGAGACAGAGAGAGAGACCAGAGAGAGACTAGAGAGAGCGACTGAGACTAGAGAGAGACCTAAGAGAGCAACAGAGAGAGAGACCAGAGAGAAAGACCAGAGAGGGAGAGACTAGAGTTAGAGACTGAGACTAGAGAGACACTAGAGAAAGACCAGAGAGAGACTGAGAGTGAATCCAGAGAGAGAGACCAGAGAGAGACAGGGAGAGAGACCAGAGAGACTATAGAAAGAGACTAGATGGAGAGACTGAGAGAGAGACTAAAGAGAGCAACGGAGATAGAGACTAGAGAGAAAGACCAGAGAGGGAGAGACTAGAGTGAGAGACTTACAGACTAGAGAGAAAGTTTGAGAAAGAGACCAGAGAGATAGACTGAGATTAGAGAGAGACTAGAGAGAGATTGAGAGTGAATCCAGAGAGAGAGAGAGTGAGGCAGGAAGAGAGACTAGAGTGAGACCCACCCCAGTGTCGGACAACTTTTAACTGAGAAATAACCGTAGCTACTG